CACTCCCCTCCCAGAGCTGGGGAGAGAACCCAGGAGTCCTGGCTCCCTGCCCCGCCTGCTCTAACCCACCAGTCCCCACTCCCCTCCCAGAGCAGGCGAGAGAACCCAGGAGTCCTGGCTCCCAGCCCCGCCTACTCTAACCCACCAGCCCCCACTCCCCTCCCAGAGCTGGGGAGAGAACCCAGGAGTCCTGGCTCCCTGCCCCGCCTGCTCTCACCCACCAGCCCCCACTCCCCTCCCAGAGCTGGGAGAGAACCCAGGAGTCCTGGCTCCCCTACTCTGGCTCCAGTTACTCTGCCTGGCAGGCCTGTGGAGGAAGGGGGGGCGCAGCCAGCCCTGGGCACCGCATGCCATGGCCGTGGCGCCATCGGGCAGGGCTTGAAGTCAAGTCCCCTCTGCCCCACGGTGCCCCCTAGCGTGGGGCTCCCGCCCCCTGGGGCGGACTCACTCCTTGGTGACAGTGATGCAGGCGACCTCCCCGTGCGCCCGGCAGGTGGCTGTCCGGCGGATGTTGCTGCAGAGAGGAGAGAGGCCATGAGGGAGGCCGGGGGGCTGTGCGGTGCGGGGTGGGGACAGGAGACTTGGCGTCTCTACTGGGACGGGGAGCCAGGGACTGGGGGTCTGCGCCCTGGGTGTGGGCTGGGAGTGTCCGTCTGGGGGCGGGGAGCGGAGACACTGGGGGGCAAGTACCGGGGAGCCCGCCTGCGCTGGGGGGTGACAGGGGTGGGGAGAGCGCCGGAGAGAGCGCACATCCGGCTGCAAGCACCCACATGGGTCCTGCAGTGTGCGCGCGCGCATGCGTGTATGTGCCGGACCCCACAGTGTTTGTGTGTGTGTGTTGCACGTCCGGCTGCAAGCACCCGCGTGGGCCCCCACGGTGTGTGCGAGTGTGTGTGTATGTGTGTGTGCCGGTCCCCGCGGGGTGTGAGTGTGTGTGTGTGTGTGTGTGTTGGTCCCCGTGGGGTGTGTGCCGGTCCCCGCAGGGTGTGGGGGTATGTGTGTATGTGCGCG